ACACACACACACACACACACACACATACACACACACACACACACCAAGGAAACCCCGCGAGACGCCAAAAATAGATGGCTGAACACGTCATCTATTATTTCGGCCAATCACAGAGATGTGCTACATGCTCCCTGCCAAGCTCCCTGTAGCTTCATGTGTGTTAAACTCTCGACTCTCTTGTATTCACACTACCAAGTGCCCCGAGAAGGACGATCAACCATTTCTCGCGGTTTTGTGTATTAAGTCTTATTCCGTCTTGGGTCTTATCAACGAACCTAAAAAAATAAATATACAAAGACAAGAATGCCCCCCCCCCTCCCCATTTTCCACAAACAACGCGAAAACAATAACTGTTAATGTAGTTAGTTATAGACCTACATAAAAACAAGTATATAACTTACACATTTAGCCTATATTAGAACTCGAAATAAAGATCAAAAGAAAACCATATTATTATGTCAGAATAATTAACACAGCTACATGAACAAGGAAACTAGCCTAGGCCTAATACTTTTCAAACACAACGTAGATCTAGATCTAGATCTACTGCACTTCTTTCCTGACTCATTCATTCATGTGCACGCTAACACTAGATTTAGATTCTAGCCTATAATAATAGCGACCAAACTTTTCATTGTAGTCTTCTGTTACTACTTTTTGGGGGGTTGCGTTATTCATCCTTATTTACAAAAGGATTTTTTTAGGGGGGGGGGGTAATAACAGAGCACTTGTACTACTTCTAGGCCTAGGCCAAAGGGTTTTTAGCTCGTTCACTCCTGTCTATGTATTGACCTAGGCCAGGATTTGACCACTCAGCAGAGATCCTCCTTGGCCAAGCGGGGATCGGAAGTGACGTTGTTTGTAACTCTCCAATAGGCCTAGGCCTAGGCTATAAAATTGTGAGTTGTGAGCCTGTGAGGAAAACTTGTTCGGACTGTCCGTTCGCGCAAGCAGAAGAGGCCCTTTTTTTTCATGACTCAGACTCAGAGGTATTTGTTATTTAAAAAAATATAAATTGAAGTGTAGCTAAACATTGTTTTCAATCGCCCAGTCCACGTAGCTATTTGATTTTTTGGTTTGATAATGGATGTGGTTCGAATCTCTTTCCTATTTCAGGAAGTGGGAGGATTGCCTCCTATTTCCAGCAAGTTGCCATTTCCATGGAAACTGTACACACATGATTTATCTGTAGTATTAATTAGATTTCTAGATCTAGATCTAGATCTAGATTCTAGTCTCTTATTAGTCTCCATGACAAGTGTCTTTAAACAACTGACTAATTTTCAAGCGTGATACTCTACTGCCTTTGATAACTAAGGCTAAGGCACTAACTTGGTAAAATAGCTTCATCCATCTCTAACCGGATGGGTCTGCTGGGCTGTAGTAGTTAAAACTTAAGTAGTGTAAGTCAAGTGTAAACAGTAAGTAATTACTCTATAGTCTATAGTCTATAACCTATTAATTATAATAAAAGGCAAAAATAGGGGCCTATTTAGAATCTAGTAAAATAGAAATAGAGTTAGATCTAGAATACAGATCTACATAGATTTATGTAGATCTAGATTTAGATATCTAGATCTAGAATCTATATCTAGATCTAACCAGACCTAGAGTTAGACAAACCACACACAGTCACAATAATGAATAAAATGGCAAATTCATGATATTTTTATCATGGAAGCATGAATTACACTTTTACTGGGTTACTAGGCTGATGGGAGTTTGGAGTCTGTAGGCTTATAAGTGGTTAATACTATCACAGTATTGCCTCAGTCACATGATTTTAGTTTTACTCAGACAATTTTTACTGTTCTATTTTCATCCTAGACTCAATTTTGGCTTTATTTATGGGGAGAAATGTCTTATGATCCACTCTGTATGATCTTTAGATGTGTGTGGTTACTTTGAAGAAATCAATGATGAATGATGGAAAATAAAAAAAATAGTTGAACCTTCTTTTGCGGTTATCTCTCCTTTGTGGTCACCTATACTGTACTAACAGCCAGTGCTTGGACTTGATGTCACCTTTGCATTTTTCCTGACCTGTCCGTAGAGGTCTTTGTTCAGCACAGCCATAGTCAGTCATTTTTGTGACCAGCTGGGTTCAAACCTATTCATATCAAATGTGGTCACTTGCTACAAAAGTTTCTGTCAACCTGTCAATGAATGTAAAGAATCAGCTGGGCTTATGAATCTCCGTGATTGGCATCCAAACCAAGATCGGATGGAGGCCGGGGGTTACGGTACTTAGTGCATTGCTTACTACCAAGATTAACCTGCGAGTGTCCAATGAAATGAGCCCAATCATTATATTATGTTGCTGGTGATTTACATGTACCACGTAAGAACATAGGCCTAGTATAAGATTCCACTTTTTTTTAATGGCTTAGAAATGCATACTAAACTTTAATTCAAGACTGTGTTTATAAGTATTTTTTTGTTTTTGATTGAGGGAGGGGAGGGGGTGCAAAACCCCCTAGACCTGCCATGCTGCCAACCTCTTCTTTCTTCACTCGAATCTGCCTTGGTAAAAAAAACACAGTGGCTATTGTTACGGCGAGCCGTAAAGATAGCCTCCCAGGCTATTTTTACGGCGTGCAGTAAAGATAGCCTCCCAGTGAGTCCCAGGCTATTTTTACGGCGATCCTCGAAAAGCGACCCTACTCCGCCTCTCATGTACGCGACATGCCTCAAAGTATTAGATCTAGGCCTATAGGAAGGGCCGTTCAGAATATAGACTTACACCTCAAAGGGGAAAGGGTGTCTTTGGCTTCTGTAAGAAAAGTGTAAGATTGGGTGGGGAGGTTAACCAAATATGACACTTCTGTGAGATGAACATTTTGCTCATGACTGGGAAGAAAAGGTAAAAGAAAAAGTGGATAAATGCCAGTAACAAGACCCAGATCTGCATGATCACTGCAGATCCCCCGCCGTTTCTGTAGGTGGGTATCTAATTTCTTAATGTTTCTTTGTAACTTTGCAACTGTTTTGTTGATCTTTTAATGTCTTGATGTCTTTTATTTGTAAGGCACGTACCTATTGCATTGACAAGAGTCTCAATGTCTTCCACATATATATACGTTCTTTTTAGTTCATATGGTTTGATTAAATTGTATTAACTGAAATGATATTTTTACGGCGGTCACAAACTGAAGACGCAGAACACGTTTTTCAGTCTTATAAATTCCGTCTTGGCTTGTAGGCCTAGTAGGCTACTACCGTATTTGTTATTTTATACTACCTTTCACTAAATGACTAAACATGTACTTTGAGCTGGTTAAAACCGAGTGTAAGGCACTATAATTAAATATCCTCTATTATTAATATTATCATAATTATAGTCTTTATTGTGGACTTAAACAGTTCAATGTTTTTATGTTCTTTACTAGGACCTTATTGTTGTGGGATTCTTTCAAATAATAAAATAGATCGCATTTTTTAAGTTTTTGTGTTTTGTTTTCTGATGTGCTCATATTATTACTGTCCATTTTTATGGGGAACAGCTCACCCCAAGGGTGATTCTTTTTCCGATTCATATTTAGGAAAAAAAATTATGCGGGCATAAGAAATAATGAAGAAAGTAAATTTTGATAAGTCGGAAAATATGAAAGTTGCCATGGAATCACAGAATTCTACAATTAAGTGTAGAATTCTGTGCATGGAATGGAAACAGCACCAACATGCAAAACAAACAATAATAAAAAAAAACCGAAGGCTATTCTTACTCTCTAACAAAATTGCATGAACATTGGTGGAATGGTAGATACAGATACTATGGTCAATCGTACTGAGCAAAATTTTGATATTTGAATGTAAAAAAATATATATGTATGTGTTCCTGTACCCTGAAATTGCACCACAATAATTAATAAATTAATCATTGTGAACACACACAAAATTTTTTTTACACCTCTATCAAAAATCTGCTAAGTGCAAAGGAAGGAGGAACATTTTAAAGGCATTCCCAAGGCAAAAAGTGTTAACTCCAAAATGGCCGTTCTTCTTGTGGGTGGGGTACATGTAGTGATGTTGGTGAATGAGATGATGATGCTGGCAGTGGCAGTGATGATGGTAATGATAATGACGAGGAGGTGATGGTGGTGGTGATGATAAAGAGAGAGTGAATGATGATGGTGGGGAGAAGATTAAGGAAGAGGTGGTGGTGGAGGAAGGGAGAAGGAAGATGAAGAAGAGAATAGAATGATGGTGAAGAGGAGGAAATGGAAAACCTATGGGGCTGTTCAAATATAATCTTACACTTTTGGGGACTTTTTTAAAACAAAAAACCCAAATACCACTTTTCTCACATTTGTCTGCAATCCCCACCTACACCAATTTAATATTAGTACTTTTTCCGATCTTCAACTTCTATTATCATTTTAAAGATACCTGTACTATACGTGGCTTTTTTTTAACCAGCTTGTAAAAAAAATATCATTTCAGTTAATTAATACAATTTAATCAAACCATATTGACTAGAAAGAACGCATATGTGGAAGACATAGAGAATCTTGTCAATGCAATAGGTACGTGCCTTACAAATAAAAGAAATCAAGACAAAAGATCAACAAAACAGTTGCAAAGTTACAAAGAAACATTAAGAAATTAGATATCCACCTACAGAATTTTCATCATAATTTAAAAAACAAAAAACAAACAAAAAAACCCAACTACGGGGATCTGCAGTGATCATGCAGATCTGGGTCTTGTTATTGGCATTTATCCACTTTTTCTTTTACCTTTTCTTCTCAGTCATGAGCAAAACGTTCATCTCACAGAAGTGTCATATTTGGTTAACCTCCCCACTCACCAATCTTACACTTTTCTTACAGAAGCCAAAGACACCCTTTCCCCTCTGAGGTGTAAGTTTATATTTTGAACGGCCCCTCCTATAGGCCTAGATCCAATACTTTGAGGCATGTCGCGTACATGAGAGGCGGAGTAGGGTCGCTTTTCGAGGATCGCTGGAAAAATAGCCTGGGACTTTACGGCTCGCCGTAACAATAGCCACTGCGTAAAAAAAAAGTGCACTATAATAGTGGTCTTGATAAAAGTAACAGGACTCTCAGAGAATGTTGATTCCAGAAACTCACAGAAGTACAAGATCAAACCAGCAAAGTTACAGTAAAAACAAACCAGTATGTGATATCATTTACTTACCTCTGGTATCTGCTTGTATCTACACAGCAAAGTAGGACTGGGATATTAATTTTTCACAATGTGCCATCATCTTGTAAAATATAGTGGCTCTCAACCGTCTGAATATAATTTTGTATTGAATATGGTGTAATTTATAATTTTTTCAGGTTTAAATGCACCCATGGAAAAACAATTACAGGTTATTTTGAAAAAAAAATCCCGAAGCAAACAAGACGCAATAGATTGGAACGTATAACATCATTTTGTGATTAAGATGGAATCACGTCATGTAATCAGGGCAAATATTCTGTCTCCCCATGAACTGACTTTGAAGTAGTTTTTGTACACTGTGAAGAAAAGTTTAAACTCTGGTTGCCTTCCAAGGAAGAAAATAATGGACGATAAAGTTGTAATAAGTTTTTGTAGCATTAGCATCTGAGCTGATGGTAATCTATGAAATGTCAAAAGGCAATTGTTGTGCTTCAATTTATTTGTCTGAGTCGTCAAGATAGAAAGTTATAGCAGTGAGAACTATATTTTCAAAAGTTTATGGTCGATTTTCTGCTATTTTCTTACTTATCCAGGAAATTTCAGCAAAAATCAGTTGGAATAGTAGCAGCATTATATTGACGATAAGTGATCCGTTTTCGGTAAATATTGTTTCAGACAAAAACTGACCACACAAGATCAAAACAAAAAAGAAGTCAGGTGTACAGAGACTGGTGCTGTAAGGTATCACAGACTTAACTGTGCTTTGGAGCATCTAACTAGAGAAACCAGTTGATCTACAAGCTTGATATTTCGCCGCCCTAGAATTACAAAATTCTATCTGCTGAGTACCTAGTTTTAA